CGGAACAGGAGTCCGGTTAGAGAAGGAAGCGAGGAGCGGAGGGCACGGATTGAGCAGTGGAACAGGGAAAGGGAGGAGAAGCAGTAATTTCAGTTTCGAGTTTCTGTTTACTTACTGCTTGTTTCTGTCTATGGAGAAGCTGATTGGAAACTGAGCTGGTTTTGTTCATTTTCTACAAATTGGTAATGACTCCAGGCTAAAAATACTGTTTATTATGCTCATTGAACATTACAAGTGGCTTTTTTTTTTCTTTCCTTTTTTCCCCTTTTACATGATGAGTGATAATCAGGCAGCTCATCTAATGGTTTGTATGGGTAATGGATAGGCTATTAGCATTAGATAAGAAAATATCTTCTAGATAGTTCAGAGATCTTCTTTCTTTCGCTGATACATTTATGCTAGAATTAAGACTTTATGTTTGCTTTTATATCAGTTACCAAAATTGGTAATGGCCGTTAAGCTACATCAAGACCTTAACGATGTGCCATCTTAGATGGCAGTTACAGTTAGCATTAAAATGCACCTTTTTAGAATCCTACAATTACAATCTTATCTATTTTCATGTCACGTTGCTGCCAACTGAGACCCTGTTGGATATTCTGGTTTGAATATCAAATTAATGGAACCATTTGGTTATGGGGTTCTGGAAACCAGTGGTTCAAAAAACCATATCCTCATGGCATCTGTTTTGCATAGTTTATCCTCATGTCATCTTAGGATTTCAAGAGAATGACTGATTCGACTGACTTGAAATTTTAGAAACATTTTGTTGAAAAATCAATTCTAAGCAATGAATTTGTGTAAAAATGTTAAGGAAAACTAGAATAGAATGGTTTCACTTCATTTCCAGCAGCTTCCTTACATTGACTTAGCTGCTAAAATAAATGATATGTTTTGCGTATTGCATTCTCAACGAGGCCTTAATCTGAAGTATTTGGGGTGGTTTTGTATAAATCCTGATTCACCCATATTATGGATTTCTAACCTCTTTTGATGTAGATATACTTGGTTGCTGACGGAATAATAGGAATAATCTTGACCATTTTATTCATGGATTCGTAACTTCTACAACTACCGACTGTTTCATGGATTCATGTAATATCTTTTCAGTTGATGTTCTTGTAAATCTACTTAATTCCCAGTTCCGGACGCTCTTTTGCTATGTTGGCAACTCTTGCCTCAGCTCAGCTCAAATCCTATTTATTTATCTTCTATCAATGTTGCCTGTTTGATCTGGTGAATTTCCTGTTTCTTCGTTATCTTTGTTTCTTTCATACTGTGTTCCCATAACCTATGAGATAGTTTTCACTTTTTGTTGTACTCGGTGATCTGTTTCCAGTTTCTTTCCCCCTTCTCTTGCATTTTCTTTTATCACCATCATATGGTGGTATAGGAATGAACGCAAGCATTCATCTAGTTCTTTCCTCTATTTTTGGCCGGTGGTATAGGAATGAATGCAAGCACTCATCTAGTTTCCTAATGTAGTGTGCATTCTAATGTTTTTCTTGACTCTTGACACTTGAGATTTTAGGTCTTGCTATAAGTTTCTGATTTTATTTTCTTTTGCTATCTTTTAGAAATAAAGAGGCTGGCATAATTGAGTCTCCCCCAATTTCTGTGTTACCTGGATTCCCATGCCATCTGCCAAGCTGACGACATGCCATGCCCCGACTCTGATGCCTCTATGCTCAGAGCCTGTAGCCCGGAGCTTTGATTGAGCTGCTTTCACTGTGTCATTTTGAAGAAGCTACTTAAAAGAAGTTTCGTTTCACTAGAAAGCCATTATTTTTTCTGAAGCAAAGCATATCTGGGCTTTTCCGATTTTTTTTTATCAAATATTGCTTATAGGCTATTTGGGTGCAACCCACCTTGCAAATAAGAATGTAACATCGAATCTGGCTTACATTCGTATCTTCTGAACTGAATCTGATCAAAATTTCAAAGAAAAAAATGTTGTCTAGAAAAAAAAAAAAAAGGAAAAATTCCACTTTAGTACCCTAAACTTCAGGGTAATGTCAAGTTAGTACCCGAATTTTTAACATGTCACTCCAGTATCTAAACTTTCAAAAAGTGTTGAGTTGGTCCTTGCTATTAATTGACTGTTGGTTATCTGTTTAAAATGTCAAAACTATCCTTCAAAAGAAGACACTGTTCATTGTCTTCTACCTTGAGACTGAACCAGTTATTTTTTAAAGTAAATGAGAGAAAAACTTGAAATATGATAGAGGGAAATAATAACTGAAAGCAAAGAAATAACTAGACAATAATGTGTTTCAGATCTAAAAGTAGAAATTGTTCATTAGCTTAGAATTTTAAACACCTCAATTGGTTCGGTGTCTTCTTTTGAAGGGTAGTTTTGACAATTTTAATAGATAATTGACGGTCATTCAATGATAGTGACCAACTTGACACTACCCCAAAGTTCAAGGTACTAAAGTGGAAATTTCCCTAAAAAGAAATAAAGAATGGTATTAATTAATTTCTCAACTCAAAGCACCATGAAATCAAAATAATAAGAAAACCAATACATTGGGTAGATAATCAATCCATTCTCCGTAACAGCTGGGCCATCCCACATCAGTCCCTGCAATTGCCATTGAAGTTGAAGCACAGAATAAAGCGTATCCCTGTGCAGCCGTTGCATGGGCCACTGGAGCGATCGGCCAGGACTCGTTGCAAGAAGTGCAGGAGTTTCCTTTACTCGTGCAAGCTCACCACCTCGTCAGCTTCTCTGATGTATCTTCCCTTTGCAAAAGCGGTAAGCAATGAACAGATACTTATCGTCAGTTATTTTTTGCTGCTGTTGGAGTTCAGTTGTGCTCAAAAATTGCCAATGGTCTCTTGTTCCAGGTTTAGGGCTCGGTTGAAAAAATAGAAGGGAAGTTCGAATGATTCAAAAGTATTTTATCTTTTTTCTAACCGGTGACCTAATCGTATACACCCACTTAACGGAAAGACAATGCTAATAGAAATGGCTTCATTCGAATAGGTGACATGCATGCCTCCTATTAGAGGGTATACGCTCACCGCGGACCTACAGGTTCATTGGATTCATTCTCATCAAGTACATGGTGTCTTAATGTTCAAATTTTCATGTCTTTAAAGAGGATAAGCCGGATGTCACTGGTTGGTGTAATGCTGGTCATGGGGAGGGAAGCAAAAAAGAAGGCAATTTAGAGTATCTATAACGTTCTTCTGCAAGGTTTCTTTTTATTGAAATGATCTCTTTATTTTGTACTTTGGGTCTATGTTCACTTTGATCCTCAAACTTTAAAATGTGTCAATTCAATATCTAAACTAGATCAACAGGGGCCAAATCATGATAGTTTCAGAGATTACAGAACTCAATCCAAATGTGTTCTGCATCTCTTTCTTCTCCATTCATAATTCGAACCAGTTTCTTGAAAACCTTCATTTCAATATGATTTTATGGTGTTAAAAAAACAGATCAGAACCATTAGATATCGCCAAGAGCTAAACGCCTGGAACGCTCCACTCTACAGTAGTGTGGAGCCCCTGGTTTATCTATTTCTTCTCTCGTACCAACCAGAAAAGGAGCTTCAAGGATATGGTGAGGGAAAAAACCCATGAGAGATGCAGTGATGTTATCTGGTTCACTGGTGTGGAGAAGCTCTCACCACTGTAAGAAACCCAATTGTTGTTTATGAACCACAGAACCTCTGATATCGAATTAATGCAAATGTAATTGAAAGAATCAATGGATGAATGAAGAGCTTGCATTTGGAATTTTACCCATTTGTCTGTGTTCTTAACAGGCTTAATTGAGTCTTGACGTCCCCGCTCACTCAGATCACTTGGTGAATCTGGCAGTTTCTGGTATTCACCCCATTTCAAGGACTAGACCATAATTGGCATGACTTGTGAAGGCCCACATCTTCCAGATAGTCTGGATTTACGTGAAAATTGTATAGAGTAAAATGATAAAAAAAAAGATATAGAAAAAACAAAACTTTGATCGTCTGCTATGGCGCCGGTTAAAAAGCACGTCTTCTTACTAAGTATATGTTTGGTCGATGCTGCAGTCAGAAAACAGTAGTGCTGATGTGTGGGTTAAAAGCATTGTTTTTTCAGAAACGATATCTTTTTTTGTTTCGAATCGTTGCTGCCAGGTAGGATGTTTGTTGGAGTAACAACAACTCTTTTTGCTTGGTACCAATGCTCCAAGAAATGTTTTCTGTATTTCTACCCATTATCCAGTGCCACATCACTGTCCTGTTGGCAACAATGAGCTGCAGATCTAGGAAATGCCAAATTTGGTGTTGCTCCAAGCCATGCTTTCCCGATTTTTAAGACATGGCTTGAAGCACCATTTTCTATGAAAAACGTGTTTCCTGGAGCACCATTTTTTCCTATGTAGCACAAATGTGTCGCTGTTGCTCCAAAAAACGACAACAATGCCAAACAACCGCTAAAATCATATATAATAGGTGGTAATGGTGATGTCTTCTAGAATAAAAAGAAAATAAATTGAGTATGACATTCTCCAGTAGTTTTCTGACGATATTTCCTTTTTCGATGTCGTCCTTCGCATATTAGAACCTGTAGGAAAAACTGGTTAATAAAGAAAATTATAGGACGCTCAAAAGGCATTTGTGTCCTTTTATGTCATTTAACGGTTAGTTAATGGTAGGTACTAAACTGATATGCTTTGAAAGTTTAGGTATTGGATTGATAGTTTTAAAGTTCCGGGACCAAAGTGAAACTAGGCCCAATGTACAAGGTACTAATATGTAATTTTCCCTAAATTTTATGTGTTTATGGACCCAGATTTTTCCTCAAAACATGTTAACTTTCCTTATGTCACTTTAAATGTGTGTGTGTGTGTGTGCAATCATTAGGGCTGTATTTGGTTGCAGCTCAAATTTATTTGCACTAGCACAAATGCATGGGACTGCAAATATAAAAAAAAATGCAAATTCTTGTTTAATTTTGTTTTGGGTTTTACTTTATTCTGTTTCATGTCTTAATTTACTTCATTTATATTGCAATCAAACAAAATAAGATAAATTTTGCAACAAAAATATGTCAGAATTTACACTCAAATCATTTGCACTGTCATGGTTTTGCATCAGTACAAATTCATTTGCATTTCAACCAAACACAGCCTAAGAACCACATGATGCAAGAAATCTGGAACAAAGGACCAAGTGCAAAAAGAAGAAATAGATAAAGCCTTTTAGCCTGAAGATGTGCCACATGGTTCCCTGATCTTTTAATAAACCACACTGAACAGTGAGGGAGTTCATTCAGAAGAGCCCTACAATCAGCATATAATAATATGCTGCATTGCTATTTAATACGCGAAGGAGCATCCATTGAGACTTCCAACAAGGAATTAATCACAATAAGAGCATCTCCCTTAAAAAGGACATGATGAAGATGCAGATTTAGAGTTAGCTTCAGGCTTTCCTTTAAAGCTAATACCTCGATCTCTACATGGGAGCAAATTGGAAAGGCAATAGAACAAGCTACAATTAGAGACCCACAGTGATCCCTCTAGCTATGATTCCAGCACCACCTCCTTTAGTGTTTGAGGTAGGCCTATCAAAATTTAGGGGGTATTACTCCCAATGCAGCACTCCAATAGTTAAAACAATTGTAAAGAGACCAATGTTCCTTGAGAAAGGAGATGAACCAGTCTCTGAACTGTAAGACAATAGAGAAACAAGTGGTCCATGGATTCCTCATGCTGATGACAAATACTGCAAACCACATCAAAGTTGTTATGCATCTTGTTAATTATTCCACTTTGAGAGATAAAAGACTGAGTGAGATATCTCCAAATGAATAAGTAAGTGTACTCGTGGTTGGAGATGTTTGAATCTCCGTAAACTTTTCCAAGTGCTCTAAGTATTGGAAAGCTATGTTTGACCTGAAAGATATAGCTATTGTTCAGTACCAATGGATTGTTGTAACTTGTAAGAGGGATCCCTGTTTTTGGTATTTGAAGTTGATGACCAATTCAGAACTTTCTTTTAAACCAAGTGCTTTCATGGAGCTGGGAATCTATAAGTTCGGTTCCTAATGTCATAAAAGCTTGGTGGTTTCTTCGACTGATGGGGAAGATAATTAGCTTGATATGGGGACCTAATCTCCAAGGGGAGTGTTTTTAGCACACGTTCGGTTTGGTAGTGCATTAGAGTGTGATATCCTATATTCATATTGTTGTAACTTTGACTCTCAAGAGCATCACATTTTGAGAATAATTCCTCAAATCATTTTTATGGAACATGGATCCTCTAGACCCAGGGGTTTTATTGTTCAGTCCAAGGTTTTAAAAACCGGGCTAGACATGGAACCGTTTTAGGGACCAGTTCTTGGGTCAAATGATCTGATCATCTAGTTTGAATGGATGGTTCATTCTAGTTAAAAAGTAAAAGGTTAATAATTAAAATAAAAAACAGCCAAAAACTGTTGTTTAGGTTGATGGGTCGCCGGTTTGACCGCCCAAATAAGTGGGTCATTGATCAAATCAATGGTTTTTGGCCCAAGAACGGTTTTAGGGTGAAACAGAATCAATTGCCTAATCGGTTCCTGGGTCAACCAGTCAAAGTATAGTTGGAACAATAACTTATGGGGGAATGAATCAAAATTCAAGGGGTAATGAATCATAGGTGGCATTGTTGAAAAATACTAAATAAAACCCATTATTTTGAAGGGAGGGATACCCTATCAGCGATGCTTAATAAGAGAGTTAAAAAGTGGATTAGGGACATTCAATGCCTCTGCTCAATCTCTTCCTATCCATACATTGTACATAGGTTAAACATTCACATCAAAACAGACAAGTGAAAAAGGATTCAATGGGTCTCTTGGGCCCAATTATTTTCACTTATCTGGGTATGTGAGTTTATTTGGGCAAGCATTTTCTAGGTAAAACTTGCATGGGTAAATTTGGTACCAACGTTCTTGTATCATATAGGTTACATCGTTAGTTTAGTGCAACTAAATTGCTTACCCTAGGTAACTGATACCCTCTATTATGTTTGGCTTATTGTGGAACCCAATATAGTGGCATTGGAATGTAGAGAATATAGTTAATTACCCATTTAACCAATTTATCAACGTATGGGGCCTTGGTGTTATTCAAGAAAGTTCACTTAGATATGGAGCTAGTCAGGGTAACCCGAGCCCCAGTGGTAGTAGAGATGTGGTAACTAGTGAGAAATTGTCAAGGTGATATAAGGCCGGCTTTTCATAAATTTTAGCCCTTCACGATTTAAAGTTATGTGTTGATCATAGTTATTTGAAAATTGAAGTGGAGAGTGACAATAAACTCTGCATCCTTGGACTATCTCAAATACTCTAAGGTCTTGTTCGCTTTTCAGGAAGTTACTTGCCTATGTTCTTTTATTTCCTAGGTGAATAAGAAAATTATCATTTTATCCATAAAAATTATCATTAAAAGGGGCAATTTTGCCCATCCAAGTGTTGGCGACTTTATCCCAAGTGGGAAAGTTATTTACCCACTTGGGAGATGGGTATCACTTACCCGAGTATGTGATGTCTAAGAAAATAATTTTTTTGTGGACCTCACATAAATTTGAAGAAAAGAATATGGGTATCTTAGTCGATGGGAACCAAAATACCATTGACCAACTTTCCCCTCTCAAAATCCAAAAAAAAGAATGGGCCCTAAGAAAGATCAATTTCCTCATCATATCCATCACACTCTACATAAAGGCAACAGATGAATCCGGATTCAGTCCTCACAAAATTTGTACTCACAACACTTGCTGCCCAGAACATTTCTCCGTGTATAAAAAAAAGTATGAAGATGTTCCAAACGTACGGTTATAAGTGTTGTAAGCATGGTGTGAGTATAAATACTGTGAGGACTAAACCCAGTCTTGCAACAAATGTATTAGTTATGTAGATAACAGAGGTATAAATGAAGAGAGATGGTATTGATTTTACTCATATTCTCAAGTTCCTATAGCTCAGTTTGGAAGGAGTACAAATACAAATATATAGAGTGCAAAACCTTGTATTTTGTATTATTTTGGATGTATTTGAACCATGGTTTTCAAAACCGGACCAGATCGGATGGTCAGACCGAAAAAATCGGGAACCGGTCACTTGATCAGTTCCATTTTCCCCAAAAATCAGATTTTCCCCCAAAACTGTTGATTTTGGTCAATGAACCGCTGCACTGGGCGGTTAACCATTTGTACAGTTTTGGCTATTTTTTATTTTTTGTTAGAACGAGCCAAGTGTTTGGTTCGAATGGTTGGACCATTCGACCTGATAACCGGACCCCTGACCAGTTTGGTCATCGGATCAGTTTTAAAAATCATGATTTGAACTCTACACTTTTGTATTTGTACTCCTTCCAAACTAAGCTACAAGTCTCAAGCATCAGCTCAAAGAAGAAATAGGGTTGTTTGGTAAGTCTTTTTTAGAAGATCTTCTAGCAAATGCAACAATCAAAAGACGATGTGTCTTTTCACGCGTCTTTCCACACAAAGACCGTTTGAAAAAAAAAAGGCGAAAAGCTCTATTTGGAGCTTCCCGAAAATAACCCAAAATAGGTTTCTCGTGTCTTTTCGGGGCTACGACTTTCGGCATTTAGATCTTTTCCCAAACAAACAAGAAAAGACAAAAATGTGGGTTGTTCGACTTTTAAAAAGCCAACAGCCCGTGCAAAAAGATATGCCAAATGGGGTCTTATTTAACAACCTTCAGCATGATTGTTTTGTGATTGATGTTTTATAATTTTGATTTCTTTTCTAAAGTTGTACCTTGGGTGGGTGAAGAGGTTTAGGGAGGGACTTTTTTTTCTTGACCTGGGGCAAGGTGGGTACGTCCCCAGCATAAGGCGTCAGTTAATGCAGGGTCTAAGGAGGGATAGATGTACTCAGCCTTACCCCTATAGAGGTGTATTTTTATTGTCTCTCCACTTGAAAAAAAAGGGTAAAAAATGTAAGCTGATGAATCATGGAGCCATGGTTTTTGAATCATTGTTGACCTAGATGGTTGGACTGTTTGACTCAGAAACCATCTAAGCAATCGATTTTGTTTCACTCGTGAATTGATTCTTTGTCAAAAACCATTGACTTAGTGACCTGTTGACCTAAATAGTTGAACTGTCAACATGTGTTAACCTAAACAACAGTTTTTTTTCCATTTTTTCAATTATTTATTTTTTTTGTTTTGTTTAAATTACAATAGACCATCCATTCAGACTAGATGATCAAACCGTTGACCTAAAAACCGATGGCCAAAGCGAATTTGATTTTGAATATGTTTTTAAAACATGGGGGGTGCAAATGTCTAATCCGATCCGAGATTCGATCATATTTGGTCGGATTCGGATCACCCCTTTTCGGTTCTTTGGATTAGATAATAGGATATGATTAGAAATTGGATCGGCTTCGAATCACCCCCTATCCGATCTGAAAAGATCCAATCTGTTATATATTATATATTTATAAATATAAATATAAATATATGTTACTTATTTATTTATAAATATATTTTTAATATTATATTTATATAAATTTGTTATATTATTTATCTTGTTTTATATACATGATGAAAATAATTAAAAAAATGCTTATATTTTTATTTTATTTTTTTTAATAATTTATTAATTTTTAAAGAAAATAAATCAGATTGAATCAAAGATCCGAATCACCGATAGAATTCAAATTCAAATCAAGTACTATCTCATCCGATTGGATGCAACATGAACAGTATCGAATCAGATTATACGTCGATTCGAATATGATCCGATCCGTTTGCATATATCTACATAAAACTGTTTAATGTTTCATGTTCTCGGGCTGCATGTCGGATAGATTGGTATCCGGTTTGAACTGCTTAATATTTCTACCTTTTGATGCGGTTTGCGGTTTAAACCAACTTACATTAGTGGGCTTTTTTTTGAAAGATAACTTACACTAGTGGGCTTGGATTGGTCTTAACCCGTTATCAGAAAGCCTTGTTGCCTTGTTGGGCTTGGATCCAATTTTATCTTTCTCTTCTAATAAAATGGAAAAGAAAATAAATTCTCTGATTTTTTTTATTGGTCGAAGTATCCCCAAGACTCGTTTCTATTGGTCGAGTGATGCCAAAACTCGTTTCTTAGAAATTGCCTTAAAATTATTATTTTATAGCTTCCTTGCTGAGGAAGAATACGTGTTTTACTGTTTTCTCTTTCCTTGCTTGGCTGCTCCCTGAATAAATTCTCAGGTACCCGCCATTTCTGTAAATGTGTTAACATAGTTTTTTTTTTTATTCTTTTTTTCCTTGTTAATTTGTTTTTTAATTCCGCCATGAACGATGGAGAAGTGCAACCTGATGATGGTCTTCTGGATCAAATAGATTGGGTTAGCTTCTTCGACAGCATCCCAGATAATCTTAACCAGTTGGCTGAGTCACCGCTTGGAGATTCCGTTTCGATTCAAGAACCACCGAGTGCGTTACAGATTTCTGCCTCGACATGGATAAACGATATCGAGCAGCTCTTGATGGCGGACGACGACGAGGAGTCCCGCGAGGAGGACCGTCGAGGACAGTGCGAAGAATTCTTCGCCGATATTGATTTTCTCGTCGACGGGTCTGCTGATGGGTCTTATGAAGAGAGGGTTTTCAAGGAGGGCGGTTCGACTCCTGAGTCCAATGTGTCCGACGACGGACGAGAGAAAGAGAAGAGCGTCGGCTCCGAGGTGAAGAACGGTCGAGATGAAGCTGACGATGATCCGATCAGCAAAAAGCGGAGAAGGTATGCGTGATCATTAGGGTTTATGCGATTTGTGGATATTAGGGTTTATGTTCGGTGGATATTTAAAAAGGAGTTTCCTTTTTTTTAGTTCCTTTACTACATATTTCGTTGTCAATTTTAGGATATTGATGAGGAATTTGATGTAGTTTTGTAAAGAAATTGGTGACTTCTTAATAGTTTTTATGGACACAAAGATTTATATCCAGTAGAAATGACCTTCCTGTTCTTTCGTCCATCTCAGTGTCCTGATAGAGAAATGTATTTTGTTTTTTGGAGAATTGTATGTAATTACTACTACGTATATAAAATGTTAAATCCTAAATGGGTTCTGTGCATGCTAGAGTTTTGTATAATTGTATTCAGTGAAGAATGTTCTTGTACTGTAATTTTGCATGTATGTTTTCTTGATGTTGGGGTTGATTGCAAAATATTTGAAGTTGTAAGAAAATCCATGGATTTAGATTTTATTTTTAATTAGCTTGTGCTTTCGGTTATCATTTTGCAATGTATATTCAAAATCCTCGAAAACAATATCCTACCTTAATATTGCATCTACCTTGAGACATTGCGTGATTCATTATCTAATTCAAGAGTATGTGTCATAGAAATTAGCCTAATTCAATAAACAGAAAAGAATTCAGTGATAAACAAGAATAAAAGGTTGTGTTTCCACTTTTTTTTCAGATGCCCATTTTGGTTTTACGGACCCATCATTTCCTTTGTTTTTCTTTTGTAAATTTCAGGCAATTGAGGAATAGAGATGCTGCAGTGAGATCAAGAGAGAGGAAAAAGATTTATGTAAGAGATCTTGAGATGAAGAGTAGATATCTTGAGGGAGAGTGCAGGAGACTGGAACGCCTACTGCAGTGCTGCATTGCAGAGAATCAAACACTCCACCTTTACTTGCAGAAGGACAAGGGTTTGGGTGCTCCCATGACCAAGCTGGAGTCTGCTGTGCTCTTATTGGGTAAGAAACCTCTCCATCTCAAACTTTGGGCTCTATGCTTGTCTCTGCATCAATGTAGCTTCCAGGTGCCCTCAATCAAAAGCAAAAACACAAATTCGGGGATGATTAAACTTGTAGGTTGCTGCATGAGAGTTTTGGTACATGTGATGTGGCTTTTTTTTTTATGGAGAAAATTTGGGAATTCTCACTCTTTGATGGGAGAGTGGATGTCCTGCCCCTTTGCCATTCCCAATGGATAGTTGCAGTTTTATACTTTTCTGATGTGGTTGGTTTGAAAGAAAAGGAAATACAGTCTTCATTTATTTCTTTAGCTGTTTAGCATACAAAGCCATAGGTTGTGGATCAGGACATGTAGTAGGTGTTCGACAATATGGTTTTTTTTTTTTTTTATACATAAACAATTGCCATGTCAACTAAATTATATTGCATTTTTGGACTTCACAGTTGTTTTTTGTTTTCAAAAACAAAACCATCCATGTTGTCCAACAAAACCATCCTGGGTCCGTTGTAGTTTGATAAATGTCCTTTTGAGTATCGATTGCAATTTTTTGTTCGTTGACCAATTGCAATGGATCGTATATACCTTGCCAAGGCCCAAGTCATAATTAGGAACATCATTTCTATAATGATTAGTGGATGTGGAGACATGGGCCCTTACTAGTTTTTGGTATTTGGTTTTTGGCAGAATCCCTGCTGTTGGGTTCCCTGCTTTGGTTCCTGGGTACCATGTGCCTGTCCTCTCTGCCCGGACAGCTCCAGACCATTCCATCGGCAACCGCATTGGAAAACGTGGGCATCAAGGATCAGGAAATCGTGTCTCTAAGAAGAGGAGCAAGAAATGAGGTATTGGGGTTAGGAGCTTTACGTCTGTTCTTCAAGAGTAAACGATGTAAAGCCACGAGAGCAAAGATTAAAATGAATTTGCCTCTTCTTACAGTTTTTGTTTGAGAGGTTTCTTGCTTTCGTTTGATTCTCCATTTTTCTGCTTTTTTTTTCTTTCCCCTTTAACATTATCTCCTTTATGGGTATGGACGTATGGTAGAATACTAGTTTCGTAGTTTAGAACTTCAACTACATGTATTAGCGTATTACAATCTTGCTTTCCTATTTTGCTCTGTACATAGAACTGCGCAGTTTCCATGTTAACTGGTTTTGACTTCATTGGCTGCCATATTCTTTGGGATTTACATCCACTTGAGCTAGTTATACTTCAATGGTATTTTCTCATGCATACAAATTCGAAGAGTTTTTCTCCATCACGGTTTTGAAAAGGTTTAAGCATTGAGGTGTAGGGCTTACACCTTGAGACTAGGCCCTAAAATTTTGCCTAAAGGCTTATGCGTTTGTTAGGAAGAAGCATAAGTTTCAAAGTGTGAGTTATATAAAGGTGTAAGCCTCAAAAACCTATGACAATTGGGTTATTTAATAAAAAAAATGTTTTATGTTTATTTTTTGAAGTTTGAAGCATATGGGAATGACACCTTGATAATTATGGGCCAAATAAAAAGATTAAGAGCTAGATTGGTTCCATGGGCGTTTATTGATGAAACACCGCCAGATTTAGAGGTGTAAATCGGACCACTTGTGGCCTGGCATGAATTTGGACCGGTTTGGCATAGCCCAGCACGGTGGTTTGTGGGTTTGTGCCAGGTTTTACATGATCGTGTGGGTTGTGTTGGGCTTAGGGTTTTAGTCTTTTAGGCAAGGTTCAAAGTATCGATATGCTATTACGTATTAGTTATATCGTATCGGTACTTAAGAAACACACTAAACACTTTTTTTTTAGTTTTTTTTTTTCAAATCTTGGTTTTTGGGAAGCTAAAAATAGGTTTTTTATTAAAAAAAGGTGGGGTTCCCAAATAAGAAAGAGATGTTAGGGTGAGAAGAGTATGATAGAAGTCGATGGGTTTTAGTTTTATATCCTTAATTTCAATGTATATTTTACATCGCTTAGTATAAAGAAAATTCAAAAATGAGTTTTATATCAATTTACGGTATAGAATTACATTCTTTCCAAAGATATGTAAAATCAAACATAACCTAAATGATTTAAGTTGGGGCAAATTTCTTAAACTATTCTTATGGTTTAGCTAATTGATTAAATCACCCTTGTTGTTTACATATTGTCCTAAAGTATCTATATTTCTAACAATTGTTTAAAACCTCTCTTAGAATTAATTTTTCATCATGTTCTATTGGCATGTGACATCACATGACTGGTATATTTTTGAAAATTCCTAAAATACCCTTTGCAACTAATGGTCAGTCCGATGATCTGAGCTAATTGGATCTGTTTTTCCATCTGTTTCGATTGCTATGGGTAGGGATATTCTCAATCCGAGGGAACAAGGTTAATCCAGTCTGCAACATTACATAAGGAGTTGCAGAGAAAAAAGCTCACTACAGCGAAGGGAACAACCATTGGTACATGATGCGATTGTAAACAGTACAAAGAAAATCTCGAAACGTGTTGGGCCTGAGGGGTAAATTACAACAATTCTGGGTAATGTTGTCATTACCTGAAACCTCTGCAACTTGGGGGGTTTCAGCTCTGAGGTGGTTCTCCCGTCCCGTGCCTAAGAACGGAGCCTTCCAATCAAACCTCTGTTTTTCTAACGTTGTAATAGAAAGAATAAAAACGTGAGGCTCAAAGAATGGGCAAATATGGTTTTGGCACATCAGTAGAGAGACGTATTGTCTCAGAAATTTCTACCAAAAAAGTTAAACAGAAGTAGTATAGATCATTCATCTAATTCGACCATGACAATCTTAATGTTCTTGAAAATTTTCATTAGTTGGGTTTTATTTTGAAAATTTGAGGAATAGTGGGGTAAATTCAACATTTCATTTTTTCTGTTAGTACTTAACGACAATGTCAATTGTTAGGCAGTAAGTGTACTTTAAGACAATATATAAACAGTAAAGATAGAATTAATCAATTATCCAAACCATAAGAATAGTTTAAGAAATTTGCCCTGTATCATGTATCATTATTGCTCATTGCATTGGCTGAAAACTTTATCTGCAATTCTTAACCCTAAAAACTCTTCCAATATTTGATTTTCAAGAAATTTGACTTTTATCTTTATTGCATATTTTTCTAATCTTGTCTTTCTATTTCTACACATTCTACACATGCTTAGTCACAATAACAGAAAATTATGGCAAGACCATATTTAATTTCTTTGTTGGCTATCCTTAAGTTCAAGGTTCTAGTTATCACAAAGAACTAGTGAATTGATTGATGAATATCCTTTCATATTGTATGCTAATTAGAAAAATTGATTGATAAATTTCCTATCTTCAAGTACCAAGGTAGACTGAAGTAGTCCTTTTTAATTGTCAGCTTGGCATGTTAGTTGATCAGGGCGGAATGTTTTAGCAAAGTTTTTCTCTATACTTTTTTCCTAATTTTGATTAAGAGCAACAATGCTTCATTTGTCCTTTCAACAATTATTAGAAGCAATCCACCAAACACTCAAAAGAGAACATACCTCTTCAAGGACTTAATCCACATTAACCCATAGGATGAATCATGTTATACTAAAGATTGCCCATACAATCTATGCAACTAATACAACAATAAATGCTAGTAGCGTCTAAATTTGTTACTTTTAACAACATGCAAATCAATGCAGAATAAGGTTTGGAAACATCCAGTAGTTTTTAATTTTGATGGGCAATAGAAAATTATTGTATGATATGTAAGAATGATCAAAAGGTGCATACAAATCTTTATACTCAATGAAACATATAAGTCCAAGGCATCCTGACCCTCAAAAGACTGGCTAATGTATAACGTAAAACCTTCAGCTCAAAAGAGGAACCTTCATTCTATGGTTTGCCTGTCGATAGATCAGATTTGATCCAATCCAAACAAACTGGGTTTCGACAACCATTGTTATTATCGTATTGGATTGGACCATGCTTAATTATCCATTCTCTTAACAAAATGTTACCAGAAATAGCATTTGAGCTTTTTATTATTTCCCACCAGAAACAGTGCCCCCAACTCGTTGCTCTACGAGTTGAGTTAATGAAGAACAATTGTTACTACTTTATTGAGTGAAATGAAGTGAGCTCTATAAGAGCTTGTGGAATTCCCATAGTACTTTACATACAACTTGGAGTCAAGGTTCAAACCAAGGAAATGAAGTAGGGGTCCAGAAGTTAGAGGTTTGTTGCTCTACTGATGCTATAGTTGACAATAGTTAGAGGTTTGTTGAGGACAAAGGAAATGAAGTAGGGGTCCAGAAAGAAGAGTTCTATGATTGCACACATAGAGGACTCCCTTTGGCTTTTCTTTGTTTGGTAGATTAGTAGTAGGGAAGGATGGGCGTTTTCATGACTTGACTCTCATCCCACAGAAGGCCAACACAGGGTAAAACATCAAGAGACCAATGGAACCCACATGAATACAACTACAATTGTTAACTGGGTCGACCTGAATACCAGCCTACCATCATGGAAATCAATGCCCTGGGGTACTTCTCCCTTGGTAGAGGGTGCCAATTCCCCTTCTCATGTTCACTCACCAAGCAGAACTCCTACTTCAACATAAGATGGAAGCTACAATTAGTCAACTCAAATGAAATCCATTGTGTATATAGCAGATTTATTAATTAACAAGAGAAAGATATTTGTTCAATCATGAAATATAACTAATGGTGATGATTATGAAGACATTTATTGAAGCTTCAAATAATCCCAAATACATCACAACCTAGCTTTATAGGTTGGCTTCCGGGTTAAGTGCAGATTGGCTTCTCTCATTCCTTTGAGAGCCTTCACTTGCAATTGACAGATTTCTGATTCTGTAAGGGGTTATGCCAACAGATTTTTGTAATGGATTGATTTGTAATTTGCATAAAAGATTCACCGTTGGATCTCAATTTCAGACACTATGGACATATACGAATGATTTCAACTTTTAGATATGCTTTTTATACAAGACCCACCATTGGATCTCAAAATCATCTATTTGGTTTCAAGTATGAGTAATTAGGACCGTTAGATCAATTTGATCACACTTAATCACGAAGAAAAAATGTTATACTGAATCATGCTACCTGTTATTTCTTGAGACGCCCCACCAAACAACCATACAACAAAAAATGTTTATTTCTGCTAATGTGGCAAGTGACCTTATGGGGTCTTACTAGAAATGCCCCACCAGCAGTCAAATGAATAAATGTTTAAAGTGATGTTTATTGCAAAAATGTTTATTTGACAAAACACCCCATCAGGAAATGCCCACAGAACCAAACATATACTAAAACGAAAGCTAGAGCAAATAAAGTTTCTAGTTTCTCTTAGGGTTTTAGAAGAGTTCAATGCAATAGGAGTCTAGGGAAAAAACTTTCATCTAGAATTTCTTACTTATAGACATCTATTTTATGGATGTTTGTAAATTATATCATTCTTAGTTTATCATATGTCCCTTTTATTATTTACTAGCAAGGCATGTGCTTTGCACATGGCAATTTTCTAAGTTTCTATTTTTTTATATTTTTTATTTTATATCTTGACAGCAAAATTTGATACATTTGACCTAAAAGGAAATTGTTGACCTGTCATTGAACATGAAAACAATTTCACTTTTGGGTTATCTTAAATTTTGTATTTCATTCCCATCATCAACAAAAATAATATTTGTTTATCACATTTGTTTTTTAATATGATTAATATAAAATGTTAGAGATGTACCCAAATGTTTTCTACAAAACTTTAATTTTATTTTCATAATTTTTGTTTTTATCTTTTTTTATCTTTATTATTTAATTATGATATCAAGAGTTGATACATTTGACCCGAATTGTTGAATTGATCACCTATTACAAAGTAGGAAAACAATTTTATATTTTGGTCAATCTTAAATTCTGTATTTCATTTCCATCAACAAGAAAACAATATTGTATCACTCATTTTATTCAATACAATTAATATAAAATATTAGTGAATTTTATATTTTATATTTTTATTTTATCATATTTTTTATTTCTTGTTATTTAATTTTTACACCAAATGGGTTGGCACATTTGACCCAAAAGGTTGAATTATTGACTTGCCACCAAATAAGAAAACAATTTTGATTTTCCATCTGTAATACTTATTTTTCTTTAATATGATTTGTTTAACTTTTTTACAATTTTTGTATTATTTTAAAAGTTTTATTATTTAATA